TTATAAACGAGCCATATATCAGGGGCGTGTACAGGATTTGGACCAGGGGGGGGGGGTCTAACCGTAACCCAAACTTATGTATGGGTTGTTGCCGCAGAAGTCGATTTGCCATTTTGCGTAGGCCTACATATATATCGCTATAAAATGTCACGGGGCATTCTTGCGCGTTGTCATGGTCCTTTTTACGGTCTGATGGGTAATGAAACCGCGTTTGCAACATCTAATATCTATATATAGAGATGCAGGGCCGGTTCCAACTTCCAGGGCTGAGGCTAGACCCCGGCTAGACAGTATTTTTCCAGATTTAAAGGGCACATCCCCCAAAAAAGGGCACACCACCCCACAGTGAGCGCAAAATTTCGAAGGGCACTTTGAAATCTAGACCGTATTTCCAACATATTTCAAATACGTACGGTCTGAATCCGCCCCTGAGATGAGAAACTGAAAACACGAGGTACGCATTATATTTATGGATGAGAGGGAAATATGGGATAATGGGAGCTGGTTTGCACATTCTGCCGGCACGCGCGTGAAAACTCTCCGTTGAATCATAGGTTGAATATTGGATTTACATTTCGTCTCAAGGCCACCGAATATCGACCGGCATGTCGTAGATGGCATCTGCATTCTCCGAGCAATGGCCGCCGAGTGAAGAAAGCTGCTTCTCATATTATTGTAGTGCCCATCTGCGCTAGTCCATAACAACACCAGCGCGGCGAGGCAGCCACTGTACTGCTACGGCGGGTAACGACCAAAGATCGACTAACGAACGGTCTATGTTTATCACGTACGCCCGTCCTGTCTTTATGGCAATCGAGATGTCTTGTGTGTGAAAACGAGTTAAAGAAGGTCAACGGAAAGCACGTGTATAGTTTAGGTATCGTGGTAAGTGAGCGTCAACCCCACGTGCGTTTATATTCGTAAGACAAGTTGCGATTTACGTAGTAATTGGTAGTAAAACTAAAACTTAAATTTTAAAACTAAAACTTGGGCCCATGGCCTCCGTTCAAGAACACTCGCTAAACAGACTGTATCTGCTAACAAAGTGTCGAGAGTTGTGCACTGATTAGAATATCTAGTACAACTGCAATTTACATACACCACACTTCTAATTTATAACCTAGTTTAAATGTAATAATACCAACCTGTAAACCCGTGCTTGTTGTTGTACTTTCAAAGTCTGTGCATCGATCAGTTGATGATACACAGAAATTTGTGCATCACTTCGTGATACCTTAGGTGCCTAAAGTGGATTTGCACCGTCGCGTACACAGGCACTTGGAGCGTTTCAATAAAATATAAATTAAAATATATAATGCTAAATAAATACGAAATCTATTTACTACCAAAGTCTTAATGTTTCTATACTCTCTTTCACCTATTAATTATTGCCAACAATTTCTTGCAAATGCCGTCCAAATGCTCATCTGCAACAAACGCTGGCTGCCGCCATGGTAGACCGAATAATTCTGTCCCATATAACCTTTTTTATATTTTGGTGAGGGTTATTGGGACAGAACGGGGTGCATTGAAATTTCATGAGATCGCATGCAAAATGCATGCGCTGCTAATGCGACCCGTACGCCGCTATTGGCGCGAAAAAAACCTACCGTTCCCTTCTACATGGCTTTACCTTGCTACTAGCTGATATATGTGTATACATTCACTTCAATCGTTATTCACTTCTTAAAAGATTGTTTTTTAGAAACCCCGCTTCATTTCACTTTAGTAAATTACATTTGCCATTTACAAACAATCAGACCAATCAGAGCGAGTCTTACAATAGCCTGGCTCTTGCTTCTATCTGTGGTGCTGCAGGAGACATGCGTCTAAACAGAGGAATTGCTCCGACCTGT